TATATATCACCACTCAAAAAAAGTATCATTTCCTATGCTTCAGGAGAGCATAAGTTGCCCATTTTCTTGTGAATACGTAAATGTCAATAATTTTGGCCTACTTAGCAAACTAAGGTTTAGCCAATGGTTCAACACCCCTAAAGTTTTCTTTTCTGCTTTCTTAAATTCTTTTTTGTTTGGGTTAAGCTTGAAAAGTTACACTTCTAAAGTTGTCCTGTGCAACAATGGGTGAAAGATCAATCTTTCTTCTTACTCTACTTTTAATGCTGTAGTAAATATATACTGTTATTGATGATTCCTGGATTCTTCTTCGGCTGCAATGAGTATTTTAAACGGAAGTTTACACCACACCCTCTTATTTTTTGTGGTCAACATTTTAGGTGAGATGGCATTAGCCATTAAGAAATTGGTGGGGCTTTCATGAACCGAAGTTAAGGGTGGAAATCGGTTTCAATCATTTCCTAAATTCAAGGCTTGAACTTGGTATATTTGCATACAATTTTTTTCTAAAGGAGTAAATCTTATTTGAAAACTTAATTAAAAAGTCTACTGTTATATAGTTTTAGGTTGACAAATGTATAACAGTAAACTATTACACTAAAATTTAGGTTCTATATAACCCTTTCATTTTTTTACTTAAATCTATTTGAAAGTTCAATTATAAAAGTTTAAAAATAAAGTGTAAGTTTGATTGTTTATTTTCTGAGTTTTAAAGGTCTTTCTTAAGCTATAAGTTATGTAACAAAATTATACGTATTTATAATTGTCTCTTTCAATAAGAGTATTTATAAAAATAACATGTATGCAAATATCAAAAGTACATGAAATTACTAACATTTATGTTTTTATAACTTTTACTTTTAAAAATATCAAAAGCCATTCTAACTCATATCAAATTGTCATAAAGATAATTTAAATAATTTATAATAGATAATAATAATAATGACAATTAAAATAATTTAATAAAAAAATTCCATATTATTTTTCATTACATTTTTACAAGGTAAAAAAAAATTAAACAACTTATTACTTTCAAAAGTTATTAAAAATATATTCCAATAAATGTCATTTGAAATTGTAAAACTTTAGCCATAAGCTAAACATATTAAAAAATCTGAAACTGAAGTTTAAGTTAGAGAATAGAATAAATAATATTTTAAAATGTCAAAAACTTATTTAACGATATTATTTTCATTAACAATTGGTTTCATGAAGTAAGAGAAGAGATTAAATGATAGAGAAAAATAAATAATACATCATATCATATATCTTACAGATTAAATATTGATAAAAATAAAGTAAATTGATTCTTGTAATAGAATAAAATTCTAACCACCATGATTTGGAGACTTTTTTTAGTTGTGAAAGAAAACACGTATTTCGGCCACTGTCCTACTTTTGTTGTCCATTTCACACTATCCATCCATTATTCGCTGCACAATCTACGATTAGTTATTATTTTTAAAACACCACTTCATACAATAAAAGGTGCTTCGGAATATCATTTTGGTTTTAATTTCTTCAAATAAAAAAGTTGTACTTTTTCCAATTTTACAATTATTGATTTTTATAAATATTAAAGAAATCGTATATACGAATATGACTGTGTACCTTTCTTATTATATCCGATCCATACCTTTAAATTGCACATGTTTATTAAGAAAAAGACTTATAATGTGCAATATATTCATTATTTATAAAATAAATTCTGAAGTAAATCTAAATACACTTATTTGTTTCATACATTAAGACAAACAAATAATGTCCAAAAACACAACTTAAGTTTTTTAAGGGAAAAAATATGTTATGTTTTAAAATAAGTAGACTTGTTAAATGCTTAATCAATTAAAAGTTTGTTGATTTATGTGATATTTTTTACCAAATTTACCCTATTGTGTAAAAAAATCAAGAAATTTAAATTTTCATGTACAGAAAATATGTAATCAAATTAATATATAACTACATAACGATTACCATATTAACATACATCTTATCTTATATAAAATTTTATTTTATTGACTTTTAAAATTGTGGTTGGGTAACTAAGTTCGTGAATATGCAATCTCATTTCCTAATATATCAATCATACAAAATGCAAAAGGGATAACTTTTTAAGAAATTATATATCACATATGTGTCATTACCAACCGTCAATATTTAAGAAATTATATATCACATATGTGTCATTATCGACTGTAAATCTTCAAGAAATATTTTGTAATAGTCAAGATTAATATATGAAAAAATTTCAATATCAAATGTTTAAAAGGTTAAACTCCTTTAGTTATCCCTATTTATGGAGGGTTTTCTCAGTTGGATTCCTTTTTTTTTTTAAACTTTCAATTGAGTCTTAAATAGTGCTAATTTGAATTAATTGGGCCTCTGCCATTAAATTGGCTTAACAGGGGTTAAGTTTTTGCTGAGGTGGGAGATTGACAAGTCAATTTTTTTAAACTGGCATTCACATAGCTGTACGTGGAATTTAAAAATATTTTAATATTTTGATTAAAAAATTTTAAAAAAAAAGTCATTTTCCATTACAATCAAGCACCACCCAGAATTCCTTTTCCCTGTCCATCACCCAGACCCTAAATTCAGCAATAGCTTCCTTTCCAACATTTGTAATTCCTGCACATTACACAACAATAATGTCCTGTTAATAATAAAACTTGAACCCTCCAAATATCGTCCATGGAAGTTAACTTAGCAGAAACATATAGAAAAACAATCAACGGTCATAGTAATAACCATCATCCAGAAATTGAAAGTCACCTCAACAGAAGCCACTAATGTAAGAAATTCTCCACAGTCCATTCCTGTGAATACCCTCGCAGCAGTAACAATGGATTTCCTGAAGTTAGAGTGTTTGTTTTGTCAAACAGTGGATTTCTGGCAACCATTTTTCTGGGTATGCTCCTAGAGCCCCCACATCGCTTCACAAGAAACCTCAATTAAATAGGAAACCTTCTCTACAAATCTCGCTCCCCAAGAAGGCCGAATGAATCCAATTTGGGAAACCGGAGAACTAGTTGGAGAAGAAGCACTACAGAGGAGTCCGTCAGCGGCCTTGGGGAAAGTTCGTCGTCGAGATCCGCGACTCGAATAAGTGCGGGTCGAGAGTGTGGCTTGGAACCTTCGACACCGCCATCGAGGCTGCCAAGGCCGACGACCGTGCTGCCTTCAGGCTTACGGCTCAAAGGCCATCCTCAACTTCCCGCTCGAAGCAGGTGTAGTGGACGCCACCGTCGAGGCCAAAGGCGAAAGGAAGCGGCGACTCTAGGAGGAGGAGGTAGAGGAAGTGAAGCCGGTGGTGAAGAAGGAGAAAACGACAAAACAGGAGGTGAACTGTTTTCGGGAGATGTTGTTAACGCCTAAGGTTGAAGATGATCAAGGGTAAGGTTGAAGATGATGAACCCTAATTTGGGTTTCAATTTTTAGAATTTTCTTTTAATTATATATTCCATGTATACAGCATAAACAATGCCACGTTTAAAAAAATTGACATGTCAACCTTCTACCTCAGCAAAAACTTAATCACGTTAAGGCAGTTTAACGACAGAGGTCTAATTGATTCAAATTAGCAATTTAAAACTCAATTGATAATTTAAAAAAAACGAGGATCTAAGTGAAAAAAACCTACATAAATAGGAACAACTAAAGAGGTTTAACCATGCATTAAAATTAAACTAAATTATTTTTATTGATATATTCATGTAGAAATAGACAAAAAGAAAATTGGATGCCAATACTCCCCTCAAAATGTACAAAACTTCATCATTACTCACCATATAATTATATTAATTATGTAACACTAAAAAACTAACATGTGATCTATTTTAAGTACTTTTGGTTTACTAAAGATCTCAACTTCTTAAGTGAGTGCAAGTTCATGGCACAAATAATCAATCATGTTTAAAGTATTGTTTGCTTTGAAACGCAAAATTTCGTTACAATTTTATTTTTAAATGACATTTCAAATAATGAAAGAAAGAAATAGTATTTAAACTGTTTTTAAACATCAACTACTAGGTAATGTACTAAGTAATATGAGATTATTAATATGATAGAAACCCAACCAATTCAATTCAAACACCTCAAAATGTCAACAATGTATTAACAACATTCCAAAACTCAATCAATTCCAAGAAAAAACAAAATTCTATTACGTGGCAATTGTTTGCTCCTCAATAGCAAACGAGGAGTTGAAAAACAGCACAGTCTATAAACATCACCAGAACAAACAAAAACATTCATAAGAAGATTAACTAGTTGTAAAACAACATCTATTAAGAAGATTAATTAAACCTTGAATATTCATAAATAAAGTAAAATATTAAGTATAAACAAAACTTACTTTAAATTAAAAATAAAGTATAAATTCATATTCAACTTACCATATAATAGGAAGGATATGAAATAACTTAAGAAACAAAGAAAGAAGATAAGAAAAACGTGTACATGAAAAGAGGAAACTATAAAATCATATATATATATATATATATAAAGAAATAAAACATAAAAAGAGGAGGATTTGTGACGTCCACTTTTCAGATTGGGAAGTGAGTACAAGTCTTATTTACATACAATGTAAGAAATTCGGTGTTAAAGGAGTGTCATAAGTGGATGAACTTAGTTACAACATTGTCAAACAACCCACTTTGAAGCAAAAACATGAAGCAACTAGTAGAATTTCTCTTATATTTGACCCATGAGAACTCAAATTACACTATATATTTTTTGACTTTCATTCCCATATTATATATACTAATAGTTGTCGACCAAAAATATTCCTAAAGATAACTTTAAATTTTGACATTTTGAAAAATATTTTTAAAAATTTCCTTTAATTAAATGTTTATTTATCTGGAGTCAATAAAGCAGTGTAAAGAGGTCAAGCCCAAAAGTGTGAAGTGAAATTCCAGCACTATCCCTGAAACCCCGCCACCAATCACGCCAAAATTCCAAAATAAAATCCGAAAAACAAAACCCATTTCACTACATTACTCACTTCACGTTCTTCTCCTTTTATCTTCCCTTCACACACGCCAACTACGTGACACCCACTCACTCCTCCTGTCATCACATAACAACCTTCAACCATTCCCTTTCTCGCTCAACCCTCGCTCATGGCAGAGAACGGCGACGCCGCCGAGGAGTACCTCTTCAAGGTCGTCCTCATCGGGGACTCTGCGGTCGGCAAGTCCAACCTCCTGTCGCGCTTCGCGCGGAATGAGTTCGACAGCAACTCCAAGGCCACCATTGGGGTGGAGTTCCAGACGCAGGTGGTGGAGATCGACGGCAAGGAGGTCAAGGCGCAGATCTGGGACACTGCCGGCCAGGAGCGCTTCCGAGCCGTCACTTCTGCTTACTACAGAGGCGCCGTTGGAGCGCTAGTCGTCTACGATATCAGCAGGAGAGGCACCTTCGACGGCATCAAGCGTTGGCTCGAAGAGCTCACTAGTGAGTGCTTTTTATTTGCTTCCTTTGGAATTTGAAATTGGAAATGCTGGTTGTGGTCTTTCTTGATTTTTTTTTTCTTCTCCTAAATGATTCTCTAAACAGCTTGATTATACTAGTGTCGTTCAATTAATAGAAATTATGCTGCATGATCCTCCAAATATTGAAAAATCGTTCAATTTCGTTTTTAAATCTCACTAAAATATATGGACATTATTCATTCCATTGCATAATTCCTATTTTCAGCATCTTAAAGCATTTATACTGAGTTGTTTAACAAAATTACATGTGATTTTTGGTTACTTGATATTTGAGAGAGTTGCGTATATAAGAAGCAACTGTTTCTTATGAATTACTTAGTAAATGTTTTATTTTTCTTAGAAGTCCCATTCATCTCAATCTGTTGACTTTCTTCTGTCATCTTCAGGAGTTTGAAGCATTGTTAGAATGATAATTCAAACACAGCCTTTAGTGTTTGTATTAAACATGACATAATATGAAGTGTTGAAGACATTTATTTGGATTAAGTGATTTGTTGATAAAATTTTTAATTGCAGGGAAAATTTGTTGGTTTACTAAAAATTAAGTGAGATGGATGGAGCACTGAATATTTTCTTTTAGATATACTTAAAATGAGTATTGTGTAAGAATAAAAAATGCTAAATTATGTTGTTTCATTGTTTTTCCAAATGGTTGACATTTTGATTCTTTTCATTGTAAAATTCCCAAACTTTGTCCCATTCATTTCATTCCGTTATACTTCAATGTATTTGAATTTTTTCTCACTAATTTAAACAGCCTCAGCGATACTCATATAGTTTCATAACTTTAGAACTATTTAGGATAAAGTAGTATTTGAGAGATCATATTGGTGGTTTGTTAGTTTTTTTAATTTTTAGTTAACTGTAATTGATTTCAAAAAATATACAGGATGGGTCTAGGTAGTTTCTGTATATGGAAATTACTTTCAACGTCCCTCAAAGTGTGAAGATTCTGTAATGTCCTAATTTGACCAAAAAATGCATATTTGGGGACTGATTTCACGGTTAATTTCAATATTTGAGAACGACTATTATAATTTTTGTGCAATGGGGACTGATATGATCAATGCCATGTAAAGAAGTATTGGAATATATTATCTAATACATTAAAATTTATTAAGAATGATAACATTACGAGTTTGACATAGTAAATAAGGACTGAGTTTCTGAGCGTCACACATTTATTTATTGTAATAAATTTATAATTATACAAAGTGTTTCCAAAAGAACGTGGTAAAAAATATTTTAGCGTGTCTTTTTTGGTTTTATTGTAGTATTTGATTATGCATGTGATGATTAAAAGCTGCTAGGCATCATGTCTGTTGTCAGAGTTGTCTTTATTTTAAAGATGATAAATCTGATTCTGTGCAGTTGAATTTTCAATTACACAAATCTTCATCTTCCAAAATATACTTTACTCATCAAACTATAAAGCTAAAAGGCTAGTTTATAAATTTCAAACGGAAAATTGGAACTGCATAACCCTACATTTATATCACAACTGCAGAGGTTCGTATTCCGTGAAGATGGAATGCTACCCTTGCATATTATTTACTCTACTGTATAAATTACTGAAATAAACAGCTATGTCCGTGATCTAATGTTTATTTCTGACAGTTTTCGGCGATATTTTGCACTTTGTGAAATTGTAAGATCAAGCCTATCTTATGATAGATATATTATAGAGAAATATGAAATCAGAGCATCAAATTAGTATATTATTTTGTTTTATAACTGTTTAACTTTACTGCCGATGAGAGTTCACCCTCTAAATATCAGGGTGTCATCAGCTTAATTCTCAAAAATGTAGTCATTAAGTGTGTCCCCCCAATTACGCAAACAAAAAGTGTCAGAAATTTGGCCCTCTGTCTAAGAGAAAAGGAATATAATGAAACCCTTATTTAGAATTTGATGATATTTTGGATAATTGATGACATTTATTAGTAACGCCTTAAACTGAAGAAAAAATTCTTGAGTGCCAAAATGAAGGCGCTCGTATTTTTGGAAGACGAGAGTATAAGGTCTGCTGGTCCTTTTGGACTCACTCAAAACCATATGGAAAATATGTACTTTAGAACATGCATTGTGATCTTTGCTATATACTGTTTTCCATCAGCTACATGCCTTATAGCACTTGAATTCTTACTAGAGGTTTTATTTTGGTGAAGTTTTGTAACGGAGGATTTGATTCATGCTTAAATTATCCTGCAGCTCAAAACGACAGCACCGTAGCAAGAATGTTGGTGGGAAACAAATGCGACTTGGAGAATATTAGAGAGGTGAGCACAGAAGAGGGCAAAAATCTTGCAGAAGAAGAGGGCCTGTTCTTTATGGAGACATCTGCACTCGATTCTACGAATGTCCAAACAGCTTTCGAGATTGTTATCCGTGAAATATACAACAATATCAGTCGTAAAACATTGAACTCTGATTCTTACAAGGCTGAGTTGTCTGTGAATCGAGTAAGCTTGGTTAATGGGGCAGGATCAAAGCAAGGTCTTTCTTGTTGTGCTCGATGAGCTTTTATCTTAACTCGGATTCGGTGCTTCTTTGGATCTTGCGAGAGTAGATTCTTGTTCTTTACTTTTTTTCCTATGTTACGATGGCTGCCATATTTTTGTTTTCCTTTTTCTTTCAACCTGCAAATTTGCAGTGCTTGGTACCTGTCTCACAAGAAAAAGATAAGGAGATTTACTCTTAACATGAATGATTTTTAAATATATTTTGTATTTGTTAAGAACCATAGGATATGCCAACTGAGTTTGTCAAGATCACCTATACTTTTTTTTTTTAAAAAAAAAAGGTTCCCAGCATTACTATGGAAATTTGGAATTCCAACTTGGTTTGTATGGAAAATCCAACCATCCATCATGATTACTTCTTTGTTTCCTTTTAAAGGTATTTTTTTTAGATTTATCATATTTAACTAGAGTCCTATTGAATAAATAGATGAATTATTTAAGATGCTAAATTAACTGAAATAAATGTTAATAACATTAAATATTACACTAAAATTATGAATTTTTGAGTTTAGGTCTTTTTAAACACCCATCCAACCACATTTAGATATTCACTAGCCTTAAAACTACCATTGTTCTTGTACTTTTTGTATGAGTTTGTTGTGTTGGTTGAGACTTAGTATTATATTATCGTTTCACAGTCACAATCTAGACGGTCAACTATAACACGAATTGTCTAATGAGTTATTAGTGAACTCGACTAACCACAAAGAAAATCAGTCAATCATGAGTCAACCCACATTAATCTTAATGCTTATCAATTTAGAGATAAAGTGTGATTATCCATAATTGAGTCATGATTAGTTTAATATTAATTAAAAGTCCACTCCACAATTGGGTCATGATTATATTAATATTAATTAAAAATTCATTTCAAAACCTATAAATACAGGTTTTAGATAAGGAGGTAGGTGATTTTACATTTATTGCGCCATTAATTCTTAACTGTCAATGTTGAGTTGATTTTGACATTTGTGCTTGAATGATTTGGATGATTGGTTTAACCCTGTACTTGGATTTTAGAACAGTGATATGTTTTCGTTGAAGCTATCAAATTAATACTACTTTTCAAGGCAACTTCAGTATTGCCAAGTAGTATTCAAGAAAGTAGATATGGTTAAAGTAACCCTGAGTCGTCACCCAAAGAAAACGGAATTGCCTTTTAATATTTGAATCTTATGAATGCAATGCAATGTTCAAGAATAAAAATGATGTTTGGAGAAGATTTAAAGAACAAATAAGAAACTTAAAAACGATTATAATGAAATAGGCTAATTTCACTCCTTTTCCAAGATAGATTCATCGGTTATTCGCAGATAATTGTTCAATTGATTATTATTTAAGTTTCAAATTAATTAAAGTACATTCTTAATTAATTTGAGGGCGATCATGCACTTAACCGAAGTAAATTCTCATTCAAATGCAAAACCTTTCTAGATTATTCACAATGAATTCAACCAAAGTACATTCTCAATCAAATCCTATTGTGTTTAATCATGTCTATTCTTAAGTCGCCTAACCAAATTAAAAACTAATCAATCAAAGTAAATTCTCAATTGATTATAGTTGAAATTATTACTACCAATCAAAGTACATTCTCAATTAATAGTAAAAATCATTTAATCATATGAAAGTTCCTAAATTAAATCAAAGTAGATTCTCAATTAAACCTAGAAACCCTAGAACTCATATAATCAATATGCATGTAGATTCAAACACATTATGATGCAAGAATCTTTGTTTTTAATTTGATAGAGAGATGAAAGACATAGAGAGAGAACAACTTAAATCAATAATCAAAATAAACAATTGCATTGACTCAATCTAACCTCAGAATCCATAATGGAATTACAGCAGAATAGCCCTAAATGCTTAGCTCTCCATGAATGGAGTTGAATACAAGATGAAATAAGAGAGAGAAGTGGTGAATGAATGAATGAAGTGAAGTCCCTCTTCTGCCTCCCCTGGGTCTCTTTATATAGGACTTGATTGGGCTTGGACTCTGAATATTCAGTTAACATAATCTTTTATCTTATATCTTCCAAATAACTAAAAGATTTAGATAATTATAACATTATTTGGAAGATATTTTCTGTTGATATTCTCAAATTAAATTAATTCAACAATTGAATTTTATCTTTTAGCTTTTCTGACTTTCTAAAATTGCACAAATATCCTGAAATTTCCCTTATCTACACTTTAGCCCCTTCTGAATTTCCCAAAATTGCACCAGAACTCCTTAATTGACTAGAACCAATCTGTTTGACCAATTTTTCGCAGCCAATGGGGGCCTACCACGTGGAATTCTCTCTTTCTTCCAAATTAGGGTTCAGATTGGGGAAAGGCTTGCCCCTGCGCCGCGCTGCTGTTGGAGAAGAAGCTCTTCTCCTTTTTCGGTGCGTGATGAGGATGAACTCACGAGGATGGGGGTGCGTCACGATCCTGGATCTGTGTTTCTTTGCAGGTCTGATTTTGATGCTGGTTTTGATGCGGTGCTGGAGGTGGTGCGAAGAAGATGATGGTGGCCGTGGAGGTTGCACGGCAGCGGCGGTGGAAGAAGGTGATGAACGAAGAAGATAGTGGCTAGTGGCAATCGTACTTCAGAGCGGAAGAGGTAGATGGTGCGCCGGATCTCGCGAGGAAGATGGTGATTGGTCGTGGAAGAAGGTTACCAGCGGGGCACGATTCTCGCGACAGTGGGGGTGAGCAATGACGCGACGGCGTGAAGAACTCTCGTCTGGTCTCGCGATGGTGGCGGCTTCACGGCGACATGGAGGTTTTTCTGTTGGCGGTGAGACTGGTTGGTCAGATCTGCGACGATGATGACGCCAGGGTTTCTGCGGCAGTGGCTTGCGGTTGTTGTGCGACGACGCGATTTCGCGAGCAAGAAGAGGGAGTGACGCGATGAAGGTGGATGTTGCGGCGAGGTGGTTGATCGTGGCCACTGGCGGTGCAATTTCAAGGTGGCGGCACCAGCCTGATGGTGGTCCAGTGAGGTTGCCTCACGTGACAGTAGTTGTCGATGAGGATGGCGGCGATGGCGCATGGCCTGGCGAAAGCGGAACAGCGGGTTTGGATTGGGAATTAGGGTTTCTGAGGAGAAGATGATGATGTCGCAGAGGGGGTGATGTGGCAGCATGTGGTTGGATAGCACTTAAGGTTTTAGATTGCCACATGGCATGATCTGGTGGAGTCTAGTTAAGGAGGGGTGTGTATAGGAAACATAGGGAGGTGTAGGAGAAAAAGCTTAGTGTTTGGGCTTGGTTGTTGGCCTGTTTCAGAAATAAGAGTGTATGTTGGAAAATTTAGGAAGTGTAAGGGTAAAGTCTGTTTGTTTGGCCCATTTGTATATTATTTTTTAAATAAAATTTGATTTTGGGTCTTGAATTGCCATTTGGACCAATATAACTTATATTCTCAGCTGCACAAATAAACGTAAGAATTTCCAAGAATAATTTATGCAACTAAAAATCAAATTTTAAGTCCATTTTTATTCCCAAACCCAACAATTCCAATCATCACAAATTCACTTAAAATCAATCATTTAAGCACAATTATCTCATCAAAAATTTGAATTTTAAAACATAAATGTGGACATAAATATGCACTCATCAAATAGCTTTCAAACCTTGAACGACTCGTTAACCCATTAACTTCGACTTCATACCCAAAACAATGCCAATTCTCACTCTTTTGACCAGGTAACATTTTTAGCACCCATGGTTGTTGTAGCTCGTTGACCTTGGTTAAGCAGTTTGATCTTTAGTTTTGTATGAAACAATGATACCGGAGTGAAAGAGGTGGTCTTAAAACTTACACCCTTTATAGAGTGATGTTGTGCCGATAATTGGAGTACATGGTTTATGGTTTGGTGCCATCTTCAGCAGATTTCCCCGAGCTTGTTTCCTTGCAGCTTTTGAAGCATTTGTCCATGATCAGCACAACACAGTGAGAAATGGGCTTCCGTTTTAACAGATGCATGCATATTGCCTTTCACACTTCGAACAATACAGAACAACAGGGTTTACTTAAAAGCTCATCACTTCAAATTCAACTTCAACTCCTTCTCCAACAAAAGATAAAGAATCTAAAATCTTTAAAGACCACACCATCCCAACAATCTAATTTCGGAAACATGAGTTTTTGAGTGAAGCCTCGTGCTGCCCACCCGCTCTTTATTTGTGTTTGGATAAAAAAATTTAACAATTTCAATTAATTGAAATAGATTGTATTTGAATTACTTATAATTAAATTATATTTATTTTTTAAATAATTTGTTTAAATGAAATAATTAAAATATTTTATATTTTAACTTTTTTGTTTAGATAAAATAAATTAATTTCTCTTTTAAGATAAAATTTTATATTAAAAATATTTGGAAAATTTGATTATCTTTTAGCTTAAATTGACTTAATTTGACCTTTGGTCTAACATAATTTATCTCGATATTTGACCTTAGTCGTTTTACCTCAACTTTCAATCCAATCGACTTATTCCAATCTTCAATTTGGACCAACTAATTTCGATTTTCAATCATGGGTCGAATGGGTTTGACCTCCGATTCAAGTCAAATGAGTTCAATCTTTGGCCTAGGCTAAATGAACTTGACCTTTGGCCTAAATTAAATGGGTTTGATCTGCATCTTCAGTTTGGGTTGACTTATCTCAACCTTTGATTCAATCAACTAATCTCAACCTTTGATTTGGACCAACTCATTTCAACCTTCTTGACTCGTCTTCTATACTTGAGCCAACTAATTTTAACCTTCGGTCCGGACCAATCCATCTTAATCTTTAATTTGTGATAACCTATCTTGACCTTTTTATCTTGACCAACTCGGCTGAACATTGAACTTAAACCAACTTGATTATGTTTTTTTGATTAAATCAATTTTATTCAACCATCTTGAATGGAATAAAAAGATTCAAATTTCTTATATATATTTATTTAAAATATTTTTCAAAATTTTATAAATTTTATAAATTTTTAATTTTTTTAATTACTTTATAAAAACAAATTGTAAGGACCTAAGAAAATAGAGTATTAGAGTATTATGTGTATTAAAATAATGAAATCGATTATTTTATTTTTAAAATAATCTTATAATATAAATAAAATTTTATAAACGCGTCCCATGTGAAAATGGATTCGCCTATTTTAT